GTCGGATATGAACTTACTGTATTCCAAACGTGGTCAAGATTGGTAAGTTATGTCTGTCTGCATTACAACTCCTCATTCCATCCGAACTTTCTATAAAGGCAGCTTTATCTTTCAAATAAAAAAAGTCTGAATTGAATGCTCGCCTTTGGAAGGCTTTGCGGAGGTTTGCTTAAGTGGAGGCTGCTTCATCTTATAAAATATGATGTAGTTATGGTTTTGCCAATCATTTTCATCTTTCGAGCCTTGAGATTATGCTACTTAGCCAGTATTTCGATTTTCCTGAGCTATATTTTGATCGAAATGCATAGCCTGGTAGCAAATATACTTTTGTTGCATTATGAAAATAAGTTCTTAGTTCACAAATATATAGTTACGACCCCAAGGCACCCCTCTTTTGACATTGGGTATGGCCAAACTATGAAACTCTTCCATTCATCTCTTTAAACGAAATTAGAAGTACGTCAAAGATCATGAACTTAGCCAGTCGAGGTCGTTTAAATGAGTAAAAGTCAAATGATATTTTTATTCTGGCACTATTGTTAATACGGCGCATCTATATTTTCCACATTACTATTAATAGATTAAGTATATTTCTAAGCTACCAATAGCTTGTCTACTCATATGGATTATATAAGTATTGTTGTGGGGACTTTCATTTTGTATGCAAGTGCATAATCATTCGTAGGTTGATTTCACAAGAAGACGACGGCTGATTCTCGTTGACCTGCAGCAGTTGGGCTTTGATTCGACGTTCAGCTAGACATAGTCCACGATACATTTTTCCTCGTTTCCGGTTACAATGAGCTGAGCTTTCGTTCATCATATGATGGACATCATCAGAACTGGAACTCATTCATGTAAAAGTCTCACGTTAATACACGGCCAAGAAGACTATCCAGCTCTATCTTACCTCTTAAATATACTAAACTAAAAATGAAGATGAATAGGCATACGTTGATATAAGAAGGTTTGGCTGATTATGTTTCATATTGGTCAGGCTACTTTTACTCGGGCGTGTGTGTGGGTGTGTTAATGTCCATAGTGT